GAGCGAGCGATTTTGAAAAAATAACATAAAGAACTTGAGTGAGAGCTGGACTGATTTATCTTTTAACTCAACCCATTATATAATATATTTATTAAAAAATTATTATTTTTTATATAAAATTAAAATCAAATAAAATTAAAAATACAAACATAAATATAATATATAAAAATTAACTAAATTAATGATTGAAGCAAGAAAAAAATCAAAATTTGTATTGAAATAGAGAGTCTACTGATTTTTTTTCCTAACAAAAAACATAAGAAAAGTTGACTTGAACCCAAGAAAAAAAATTGAATTTCTGATTTTATTTAATAAAAAAATTGTGAGTTTTTCAATAACCAAATCCATTACTAACACTTTGGTTTACAATCTCATTTAAACATTTTCTCCTCAATATTTTCCCTGCTTGTTTGGTATAGCATTTAAAAGTAGCGCTTAATAATTTTACCAAACTGTTAAGATTTGATATTTAGTAAATTTATTTATCTTAAAATTGCTGCAAACAAGATATTTGATAAGAATTTTATTTTTCAATGTGAGACTATTGGATAATAGTTAGAATCTAAATTACTAGTGGATTGAAATTTTTTAATTTTATTGGTAAATTTATCTTTTTTAATTTTTTAATTTTTTACCATAATTTTTAATTAATACTTATCTAATTAGTTTCAACTTTGTTTTTTTCATTTTAATAACATTAAGTGATTGTTATATTTTATTTGATTACATTAATTTCTAGTTTAAAATTACATTGGCTTAAAAAAACAAAATTTACTAGTTAGATGGAACGATTACAATTTGTTTTTTTTTTTTTTTAATTTAAAAATAATATATATTTTTTTTGTTAAAAATAGAAATAAGAGTGTGATTACAATTTTATAATTTTATTTATTTATTTGTTTTCTTATTATTATTTTTATAAAATTAATAATTTTATTAATAAGAAATACAAAAAGAAAAAAAATATACTTTTCACTTTTCACTCTACCCTCAAATGGGTATTGTTATCTTATCACTTTTCAGTCTACCCTAAAGTTGGCGTAACGAATGTGATTGTCATGAATAGCTTAAACTATTTGCTTAGAACAACTCCATATGGTGATGTTTCTATTTTCATAATTCTATTTTGCCCCAATAATGACAATTGCATTAGCAATCTCTAAGTAATACTTAACATCTTTTATAAAACTAATTGTTCATATGTATTTACTATGGACAAAATCTTTTATTATTTGTGATAAAGGTTTAATTTTTTGTTCTTATCATCAAGATTTGCTTGTAATATTTTTATTTTAAAATAAATTTTGTAACCATAAAAAAAATGCACTATCATTAAAAATTAAACAAAAATATATATTCACGAGAATTTTGAAGCTCTGAGCTATTATGCTGAAGTAAATAAACAAAAATAGAAATTAATATAATTAAAATTAACTATAGACATACCTTAGCTTTTAGCTTGAGCTTTATTTCTGGACGCTAACTTAGAACTGAATGCGGTGGAGATGCGTTTGAACAAGAGTACTTCCCTTTTTTCTTTCTTTTTCTTTTTCTCTCCTTTTTTTTTTTTTTTTTGAAGAGGGAACAAGATGATTTAACAAAATAGAAAATGTATATATCTGAAAGAAAAACAAAAGGAGAGTGTTTGTAGTGGAAATTAAGATAAACAGTTTGAAAGGGAGAGGAAGTGAAGAATTAGAAGTCGAGTAACTCGAACTGAAGAATGCTGAACAAAGATGTTGATTAGCGAAAGGCAGTGTATTTGGGGCTCCTCACTGGAAGCTGCTGCATATATAGAAAGAAACAAAGGTTTAAATTATTTGATTCGATTGCAAATACAGTCCACTGTAACATAACACTAAATAATAAGACATCAGAAAAGGTAGAACCAAAGCAAAACAAACATGAAGTTCTTTTTTGGGTTTTTATAACACTCATTGTTAGTGTATAGATAAAAGTGCATTTATTATATATTTTTATTATTAATTTGTGTGAAAAATTATAAAAGTAAATTTTATTTTTAAATATTAATGTCACATAAAATATTTTAATTAGATTGTTGATACAATTAAAGTTAATTTTTATTTTTTATACAAATTAATAATTAAAAGGTACAATAAATACACCTTAAACATGTGTTATTAGTATATAGATTAAAAAAATTCCTTTTTTTTTTAAATCTCTCAGACATGAAATTATTCTAAAAAGAATATTTTTAATATGTGACCTAAAGATACAAATTGAGGGTGAATTTATAACACACTTTCACCATTAGTTTATATCAAAAAAATAAAAATTAATTTAAATTTTATCAACCATATAATTAAATCAATTTCTATAATATTAGTGTTAAAAATTAACTTTATTTTTATAATTCTTTTATAAGAATTAATAATAAAAAATATAATAAATGCACCCCAAACAGTGAACAATTTGTCAAGTGGCAAAAGTTGCAGAGAGCGCTTTAACCATGCACCACCACTCCCTCATTCGAAAATGTTTTCTGTCGCTACCAGTGAACCTTATTGGGTGCTAAATATATATATGCATCTAGTCAAATTTGGTTTGCTATTATAATTTAATTTGGTCGATATGTCCTAGTAATCAAAAATATTAACCATTCAATCATTAAACCTAACAACATATTTTACAGTAGGATTTGATTTAAAAGAGACTAACTCAACCATTGTTATGTTTAGGGCTGAAATTAATTGAATCTTAACCTTGGTTTGTTTTCCTTTTTTTCTTTATTTTTTTAATAAATCTTAACCTTGGTTAGTTTATATACTGAACTATATATTAATGAATCGATAATGGAGAGGGGTCTATTAAAGA